AAAGAGTGACATCAGCATAGGAGGGTTAATGTCTGTTTAATCAAGATGACTTTTAGAGTTTCCGTTTGTTTAAACTTGACCGAAAACGGAATGCCCAGGCCCAACATGTATATTTTCCTAGTTTTGAAGCACGCATTATTTGCATGAAAAAATGTTGCAAACTCAACTACACAGTTGTTGGTTGTAGCAGAAATGTATGTGATGTAATGAGTTGGTCAACTATGCAGCATGTGTTTGCAATTACTGTATGATTGACCATTTCAAGATAAATTTTGATACTGCAATATTGAAAATATTGAATATCATATTTTTCTCTGGTATTTTGTTTTAAAAAAAATGGATATCGAACAGGCCTACTTTAATTGACAGTTGTCTTGAATATATACATGCATATTTATGTACATGTATATGCATGTACCGGTGTATATACAAAGTATCATTCAACAATGTGAGGGCAGTTATAAAAAAAGATTACTTTCAGTCAGAATTAGGTACTTTCCTTGTTCAAATGTTTGGTGGTTTGTGCTATCCATGGCCTTTCACACAATTTGACGAGTACAAAACCTCCCAATTTGTTAGTGATACAAAAGCTGGATGGAAATTTTATTTTCAAACCCAGAAAACATGCCTGAGTATCCCACTATTTGCCCACAAATAGCAATGCAATCGCTGCTCGGTAGCCAAAAATCCCAGCTCTACCTGAGTAAACAGACTTGATTAGACTTCTTGATTTGTTGATCATGAACATGGTAAAACTCTAAACTCATCTGCCAACTACAGGTACTTGTGTATGTCATCTGTAAGAGCTATTGTAACCATTTACCAAGATTCCCTAGGGCCGGCTTTTTTTGTAGGATATTAAATGTAAGGTTTCCAGGTCCATCGTCATTGCCACACAGATCTACATGTATTGTATTGACGTCCGGAAGGCATCAAGCGGGACCGTTTCTTTGAGCTATTGTTATGCAAGTTAGGGCGTGACCCGCGTTCTGACCGGGGCCCGCACGAATGCTAGAATACGGGATTTGGGGTTAAAAGCAATGGGCCCATTCCTCGTGAGTGCCTGTGTCGGAATACGAAAAATACTTTCGATCTTTGCCCTACGCTTGTGAATTTTTTCCACAAGCTTTCGGACAAGCACTGAGTATACACTGTTTATGAATGTACGTCAGGTAAGGGCAAAACCCCTTAAATAAAATTGACATCTTGTACATCTTGAAATATTGTTGACTGTCAATCAGGATGGCACCAGACCTTTTAAGATTGGCATGTGTTCCAAGCCTCCCTTTCATAAATTGTTCCAAATCCCATTAGAATTATTGATGTGAGTAGACAGGTACTAATTTGTCATGAAATTTCATTTTATTCTGCTCATTTTGACTCACAACTTGCAAAAAGGAAGACTTACATGTAACCTCGCTTTCATTAGTGTATTGTCATGCTTTGTAATACGTGTACACAGATGGGTGGTTTTTAATATGTAATTCTGCTTATAGCATCTGTATCAAAAATATCATCCACTACCCCTGCATTATTACCGAGACACACTGTGTTCTGCTTGATTGATTTTGACTGACATTGCCCTCACCTACCCAGCTGTGAAGTTTCAATTGGATTTGACATGTGCTTTGTCATTACGACCGATTGAGGTCCGTGGCCTCATGTGTGTGGGCCTGCATACATCGAGCGTGTCAATAAACAATATTTGCTGACCTATCTTGGAAGAATGGGTGTTTCGTGGGAACGACACATCTTATTTTTACAAATTTGATGTCAGGATGACGGCATGGTGTTACTGGAAAAACTTCCTTACCTACGATTGGCATTGGGAGACAAAATGTGTTTCAACAATATCCCAGAAAATGTTGAAAGCGGGATTCCCCCCTTCCCTTTCCCAAGCTTTTTACGGTGAAGGGTTATAAAGCCTCCAGTTTAACTTTCCTTTTTCTTCTTCGTCTCTCATGTGCCTTTTGCCTGATCAGGAATATTCCGGAATTGGGTGTTGACCCTTTACGGCACCGATTCCTTACCCAGCACCGCCAGGCCTCCAAAGCGGCCAGACGACAACAGAGACAGCGGCAGAGGCAGTGCCACAGCAGAAACCAATTTGAATGTCCCACGGGTGGCCGTCCCAAGAAGCTTGGATTACTCCCCCTGCCATCCGGAGTGCTTCAACGGCTGCTCGGGACCCCTCGCCAGCGACTGCTTCAAGTGTCTCCACTACAGAGACAGGAAAACAGAGTGAGTCGGTCGCTCTCTCCAGGGTTTGAGCCCGTTTAAAGTAACTGAAGTCTCAGTGGTCACCTGTGATTTGGAGGGTTGCACGGTGGACACAGCAATCAGACAGAGTTTTGCAGTTGCACGTCGTAAAACTCTTCCATGGGTGAACGAGGTTCCTAAAAGGTCCAGGGGACTTCTGGGGTTTGAACGGTGTAGTCTGTCCGTCAGGACAGTGTTGTCAATCTGTCCGTGGGGGGATTGAGGATGACTCCAATCAAAAAATACCTGGCCATAGAAAATTCAAAAAGTGGGGGCACTGTTCATGATACAGAGTTCAGCGGATGTGTACTTACACCCCTTAATCTTCCTCAAAATGGTAATTTAAAATCATGTGTACTTTTCTCTCCCTTTATCAGTACTGTTTAATACAGTTTGGTTGTTGGGAAGTTCAAAGAGTACCTCTAGAGTCAATGATTTTCTGCGATCGGGAAGAACAGATGGAATTCGTGGCATCAGCGCTTTGAAACGGAAATCACTGTTTGAAACGGACCTTGCAAAATTTCCCATTAAGAAGGGCTTCAAAAATAAAGTGAACTTTCTGTTGATTAATCGTGGCAAGTTTTTGACAGTCACTCCGACAAGGGGTGGGGATGCCGTAACTATTGTGTGGATTCTGTTTAAATTTTCACTACAGAAAATTTAAAAAAAAAGTTTGAAACTTTGCAGAGTATTTCCAAACAGTATTTGTTTCTTTTCCTTCTCTTTTTCCTTTTTGAGGGGTGGAGTATGCTTGGGCAAATGGTTTCCGTGCATAGTTTAAAACTTGCTCTTCTATTTCATGCTTACCGGTACTAAGGTATGGAACGAAATTTGAATTTCTGAAACAATTCGGGAGTTGGCAAAATCGAAAATAACCATTTTTGAAACGGAAAATCACAGGCTCTATATCTCAAACATCTACTTCATTCTCACCAATAAAAAGTGAGGTGAATGATCCAGCGACCCTACCCCTGGTCAAAAAGCAGAGGGATATGTACATGGATCACCTCCCCCCCCCCCGAATTAACGTCCCTGGTCAAGAGAGTACACTCACACCCTTGCATTTATATTCCTGTGAGGTATTTCCCTTGTTCTCATTTACTGGAAAAATACTGTCTGAAGAGCAGTTTCCAAATCACTCCCATTAGAACTACAAGTGTAGACTCTCTTTCCTGGGTCCATATTTCGACCAAATGCCCCTTTTGTAAAATACCTCATTTGGCGATGAATAAGTATATCTTCGAAAGTCCTCCTCTTTGAGTAAATTCCAAAAATCTATTTCATGAAATTCTTGTCGGGTAAACTGTTTAAGTACCCCGCAAAGATAAGGAATGTTCCTTGTGGGATATTTCCTCTTGTTCCGGCACCCCATAAGGCACCGGATACATGTGCAGGGATGCATCCAAGAGTCTCCCAAGCTCTGCTGATCGCCAGAGTTGAATTCCTTTCACACCTCCCTGCTCCCAAATCTCCATGTAAACCCTCTCCAAGTTGTCGTCCCTGCTTTCTTCCGCTGACAGACAGGACGCATTGTCAGAAAAATGTTGAGCCTAACCCAGTGCATTCCAGAACTTTCTTCACTCACAGAGAGAGATTTGCGGCGCTTAATCACCAACCTCTATCTTGTAATAATAATTCCCAACTGGGCTGTTGCTGTTTTCGCTGCGCGACGGAGAGATAAACCACCACGGTTAGAAACCTGAGACATTTTAGGATACCACGCTATTAAAGGCAGTGCATTCTTGCCTTGCCAATTCGTGATCTCGTTAGATATGGAGTGACCAACACGGCTAAGAACTTTTCCATCACACCTTCAGTTCATCCGTTTGGGGCTGTTGTTATCGTCGTGATTCACAAAAGTGCACCCCCGAGAGTTTGCAACGCGTTGGCCAGTCACAACACGCGAAATTTGTCAACCCTTTCCGAACGTGCATTGGGTCAACAGATTTTGCGCATTTTGATTGGCCAACGTATTGCAAACTCTTGGTGGCGCACTTTTGTGAATTGCCTGTATAAGTCAGCAGCATAATGACTTGCAGATTGAGCAGGTTTCTGCCGTGTAAGTACAAGCCATCACACGGTATATTATTTTCTGTCAAGACTGTCCATTATCGCTCGTCTGTTACATGAATTGCACTGAGTGTGCCATTCTCAGTTATAATGTAAACACATAGATATTTTCCTCAGAGCTACATAAATTAATGCACATCCATTGTGAAATCATATTTCCAGCATTGCATACGTCTGATGTTATTCTCACAGTAAAAATAATAATTTGTGTGAAATTGAAAACATCCATGACAAAGCATATACTGGTAGATCTGCAGTTTTCCCACGGCTTATTTTTGAGATGTGCAACGTTGCCAGTGCATTATCACTATAATTCAAAACCAGTTCATTTGCCATGAGTATACTCATAGTCCCGAATTCCAGTTCACCCACTGCCACAAATAGTCGCTTTGGCAGTCGACGTGTTAACACACCATTCTTTGTGTCTTCATCAAAAATCCCTGCAGTGAGTGCGTGGCCCGCTGCCCGGAGGATGGCTTTTACAACCCTCCCGCCTTGCACACTCGCTGTAAGGCCTGCGCGCCCACCTGTTTGTCCTGCGCCGGCCCCAGCAGCACTGACTGCCTGTCCTGCAGCCCACCCTTCTTCCTCATGGATTCTGAGTGCGTTCAGAAGTGTGACGAGGAGTTTTACAAAGGTCAGACCACCAAAGGGAACATTTAGTTTAATTTGATTGTTTTCAGGGGGGGTACGATTGTTTTATTCCCAAGTCGTATGCATGTACTTGCCATGGTGATGGTCTGAAACACTACTTTTACTGGGCAAGAAAGATCAGATTAATTATCCCTGTCTACAAAGTATGAAAACACGGAAGGGTTATCCACTGAAACATTTGATGTTGGCTTGTATAACTTGTACTGACTTTGCATCAACAAATTCCTTGGGCTTTTGTAAAAGCATGTTTTCCTGTAACGTAATTTCATCTCCTGAAGTTAAAGAGTTTATTCCGTGGATTTTTCTTCATTAACATTGAGTTTTTTTCTCCCTGGAATAATGTCATTGTTTTGCACATAAATATGGACTATTTGCATCAGCAACAAAACCACAATATTACCAAAACACCTTTGAAAATAGCAAAGCTAACAATTGAAAACAAAATTAATTGAAGCACAGAGGTGCATTTTTGAGACTTGTAAAGTAATCGCATTGCACCGATTTTTTTTTCAAGAGGATAGTACAAATTTACTTGGCCTGGTTGTGATGTCTTTGTTTCTTGGGTTGGCTTCGTCAGATGAGGAAAGTGCCACCTGTTTGCCCTGCGCGCCGTTGTGCCGCCAATGCGAGGGGAGTGCCACCTACTGCCTGACGTGCAAACCACACGCCCTGCTCAACGCCGAGGACCACACCTGCCAGCGGGCCTGCGCCACCAACGAGTACCTGGACGTCAGCACCTGCAGGCGCTGCAGCAACGTCTGCTACACCTGCAGCGGCGGAGGCGACCAGGACTGCCTGACCTGCATCCCCGGCCAGGTGCTGAAGGAGCGTACGTGCGTGGAAGAGTGGGTGTGCACCAATGGCTACTACGTGGACTGGGACTTGCACGGCGGCGACAAAGAATGCCTGAAGTATGAACGAAACATTTTGATTTTCATCAAAAGCCTCATATCCCCCTTGGACTTTATCTTGTGTCCCGTAACTAACTACGCCTTCCCTTTGAACATTCCTTGGCAAAGTTGGCGTGAAACATCCATCATGTCCATGCTTTCCCACTTGGAGTTTTATACCGCAACGAAAGGATATTAATTATTCACCATACTTGGTTTACTGATCATGGCACAGCGTGGACTTCTGAAGTGTGGACTCATCCAAAAACAATCAATTGCCATGTTGTTTTATGTCATGGGACTCACATTTCTTCAGTTTCATCCCTGTTACCAAGCTTGGTGTTATAAGCACACATCCTAGTCATGGGTCACACTGTGTTGCAGTGTAGAAGTCGAGTACTTTCCCGAGTACCAACGTTCTCCGCAAAATACTGAACTGGGTAAGAGGGAATAAAGCCAGAGTGCTCAGGCATTTGATGGTAAATGTGCAAAGGTAAGATTACAAAATAAATGTTAGACTTCAGACACTCCCAGTTGTGTAAAATTTAAGTTTCAAGGAGAAAAGTACTCGGAAAGTACTCGGCCGAATACTTTGCGAGTACGTTTGTCCAAAAAGTTAATTTTAATCAAACAGTGATAGTCTGAAGTCATTATGTTGCTTTGTAATCTTACCTTTGTGCATGTACCATCAAATGCCGATGTACTTCAGCTTTGTTCCCTCCTAACTAGTTAAATATTTGGTAGAGAACTTGGTTCTCAAAAAGTGCTGGACTACATCACTGCTTTATTGATTGAATCTCTCATAATCATTAATGAGTCAACAGATATTAATATGTATGAGGTACCTGCTTCTGTGTTTGTTCTTTATTGGCAGGTGCCATGTCTCCTGTCAAAACTGCAACGGGCAGTCCTCGTCGGACTGCACCGAGTGCAGAGAGGGGCACATCCTTCAGGACGGGGCCTGTGTGGCCAACTGTTTGGACGGGTTCTACAAGGATGATTACGACAACTGCCTGGCCTGCTCTCACGGCTGTGATCAGTGCACCGGCGAGGACCAGTGTGTCCAGTGTCACTCGGAATTGTGAGTACCTTCCGGAATTTTTAACTCAGAGAACATGCACCAACATTTATCCAAAACATTTCAAGTTTGGGGCAAGAAATCAGAGTTCAGAAACGTGAAGAGTGCTAGGAACTTTCAGTTGTCCTAGCAATAATGATAGTAATGACGGCGGCATTCATGTAGCACAGTTCTGGGCCCAGGGACTTTCCTGTGAACCCCCACACAGCATCATGAATACCCATTTTTGTGTTTTTGAATAACTTTTCCTGCGTGAACTGTATACAGTGGGCACATTTTCGCAACTCTCAATACGCTAGCCAGGAAATACATGTACCCTTGCCTGCTTCATGTTCTACGTGCTGCTGAAGTGTTAACTTGGAGGGTAGCTGCAATGCAATTTTTAAAATGCCAACTTCCGAAATGCACCTTTCCATCTCAGTTAACCTTGTTTTCCATTTTTGTTTCACCTTTTAAAGGGAATTTTGCTGCCTTTTTTACTTTCATGCTAATGAGTATTCCATATGCATAAGCAAATTTATGTCATCCACGGAAGAGTATGTCAATGTTGCACTGATTTGTACACAAAACTGCCGAATTTGTCCAGATTTTGCTGGCCTTAATTTTTTTTTAGGGTGATTCCTTGGTGTCTAAGTACATAGCAATAATTAAACATGTGAAGTTTTCTCAGAAAGGTTTTCATTGTGTCAATGTTGGGTTCGAAATTTGAACAGGAAAACCTATGCACTGAAACATGTCTTCCCCAGATGACATCATAGCAACAGCGCCCTCAGTTTTTCAGCACAAGCATGGGGGATTTTTAATGTTTTAAAACGTACACTTTTCAATGCATTTAAATCGAAAGGGATTTGAAATAATTTTCATACATCAGAGAAAAGTACAAAATTGCAGAAAACTGGGGTATAAAAAAATTTCATTGCAGCTAAACTTTAACCCTTCCAAGATGCAACCAAAGGTCTACCAAACGCTTTCAAAATCAAATATTCATTGGCATCTTTACTCAGTGTAGTTCCGGGTCCAGTTCAAGGGTACCATTTAACCGTCATCTTTATGCCAGCGAATCCTCGTCTGTTTCATAGATATAATCATATTGAACACATGTACATGGGTACAGTATCTACCTGATGTGGATATTCTTTGTGTGTAGATGAGAAAACGTGGCGACAAAAAAAATACTTGCACTTTCCTTTCAGCTGGATTTTTGTTGATGGTTTCCTAGACTGTTCCTCGTCCCTACACTACGTACAGTGTACATGTATAACCCTAACCCAACAATTGTATAACTGCATTTCTCCCAGAAAGGGAGAGGGGTAATTTGTATGGACCTGGCTTAGTCTGCACAAGGTACATGTACCCTCAACCTGTGTCGTGTGCCTCCCCCTTTTTTTCCTGATCACTGCGATGCAGTCACACAGTAATGCAACAATGCTAGTCTCCATGCGCTTACAAGCTTCTGCACATCCATGCCACGAGACAGTGTTCAAGCAGCGTTATTCTCTGCAGTTGCGCCCCACCCTTGCAGCGGCCGTTCAGCGCTGCCATGAACCTCGGCCCTGCTTCCGTCCTAAACACACTGCCTGCGGCGGCAGTCATTCGAAGTGATTTCTCCCAAAAGTCATCCTAAGATGGTGGCTTTCCTATTCTCAACAGCTCACTGGTTGATGGGCAGTGTAAGACAGGCTGCAGTGAGGGAAGCTACGAGCACGAAGGCAAGTGCCTGGACTGTCATTTCCTGTGTGAGACTTGCATGGGCAGTGGACCGGAAGCCTGTACCAGCTGTAAACGAAGTAAGTAGAAATTCTTTTCAACTCTTACACTTGTGTTTGCTACTCGCACATGTGGATACACCAGTAGAGTACATACAAGGTGCACTATCTTTGAGGGCAGACAGGTGGCCCCGTGTGATGTTCATAAGTAGACTTTGTGTACTTTCATTATCACTGCATGTAAAAAACAGAAACTGTCCTCCATCATGGTGCACCATGCAAGCACTCTATACTCTGTACATGAGGGCACAGTAGGCATGGAAGGATATTTTATCATTTCAGGAACCTCAGCCCTGTGAGTGTTATGCTAGGTCCGTCAGTCAGATATACATGTATATGAATACCACCATCAGTGAATGAGATGGTGCCATTTTCACATCAAAGGATTCAGCAAGGCATTCCTTGAAGTGTGTTGCTGGCCTCTACTGTAGCAGTGTTGCTACAGCGAAAGCAGTGGGGCAGTCACCAAAAGTGATGTTGAGGATGTGGTCGACTAAAATTGTACAGTGTTGTAGTTGAGACCATGCACAAGACTGTTCCCGAGACCGGACACAAGTATCCATGGTATCAGGGTGAACAGTGAGCGAGGGATGCCGTTGTCGCCGTTCATTTGAATAGCTAGTGACTTGGATTCAGGCTGCAGGTCTTACATTGGTATTACGATGGTCTCGTTGGGTCTTGTGATCTTAGGAGGTCCTGATTACAACACTAGCTTTATATCTGTCGAGGCTGTATTGTCAACAAGGATGAAATTGTCATAAAACCTGGACCACCTGAAGGAAGGAAGAGAGTTATTGTTCAAAAATGAACCATCTGATATTAAATGGAGAATTTCTACTGTCTTTCTTTTTATTTTATTTCAGTTTAATAAATATTCAGTACAGAAATTTGAAAATTTGTAGTGATTGGATAACAAATTATATATTTACCAATAATAAAAATATCAAAAAGATATATATATAGGGACTAAACAAGCTTCAAATAATGATGTGAAGAATTTGTGGAATAGATCTTTGATATCTGTTTGTACAAAAAAAGGGGACCAAAAGCCCACTAGTATTTCTAAGAGTACGAGTACACTGTGAATTATGAGGAGGGGGTAACATGGACATGGGCTTGGATCCGACAAGGGACATTGCAAATTTCTCAATTAACTGAATGTTCCTTGTTCCAAGGATGGCAATTGAAGATAATCGAGGGTAGCAGAATATTCAAAATGCTCAGGATAACCAACAGTTATACGGCAAGCACGTTTTTGAATTCTTTCCATGCATTGAGATTGCTGTACGTTCAGAGAACTTGACCACACTGGAGAGGTATACTCAAGAGAAGGTCTAATGTACATGTACATTTATGTCAGAATGACCCCGTGGAGTCAAACGACCCCGAGAAGAAAATGGTTTTCTTGAAGAAGGGTGATAGCTTATTTAGTTCACATGCTCGAATGAGGAATAAGAAGTCCAAGGTTCATTATGGTCTGACTAGTACTCAGTATTTTAATACAATATGAAGACAGCTCAACGTCAATGGTTATAAAAATCAAATCTGTGCACACTGCTTAATACAATATTTACATACAATATTTAAATCACAACAGCAACCAATTTTTCAATCAATCAAAATCCTAACTCTCAATCGAATCATGAAATGGTACTGTACAGTAGAGGTACTGGTACTCGTTACTGGTGGTTGGCACTTGACTAAATTCAACTAATTAACTGTAAAAGATCTCGTCATTTCTAACGATCCACATTCAATAAAACTTCATTAATCAGCACAGATTTAAGTTAGTTTCCCAATCCATGAAATACTGTGAGAAACAACTAACCTTTCATACTTAAATCAAAGGTCATTTCAGTGCAAAACTCGAGTAACTGTAAGGCCAAATTTCAAAGAATAGGGTTCCTTATCCTGTCAATATTTACTAAATGCGCTCTTTGATATAAAGGAATCACTCATATAACGTACCTTATGCTGTAATCACCCACTTATTGCAGGGGTATAAATTCAAATTTAATTCATCAAATTTACAGTCACAGGAGAAGTCTCCTAGCTCATAAATCAAATGGAAAGAACGTCTGCTCTTTTCCCAAGCCTCTCATCAGTGCAGAATCTTGAAACTAACATGCACAAAATCCAAGATTGGATGGGTAGGAAAATATTTCAGCACCCTTAATAAATCGTATTCGCTTTTCTGGCCTGCTACTGCATCATATATTTAAAAAAAGACAATCACCTAGTGCCATCACACCGCTCCAGAAGTCCTAAGAACCCCAAACCTATTCAAAATTTTCCCACGACGAACGTACCTTTAACCTTCTCTTAGACTGAGACCATTCAACCTTAGACCAACAAAAGATGTGACTATGACCAACGACACCGTCAAACATAAACACGTACAAGTCTTCTGAGAGGTAAAATAGACAGTTTTGTACGCTAAAAGGAATTCTGTGACAATGTACATGTATGTACATCGGATAAATCGTGACAAGATCTGCAATGGGGGCATTGAACCTTTTAAGAATACATTAGATGTGTAATCTCTTGGCACCCATACAAGTAATGTGTCCCACATATATTGCCCATTTTAAATTGGCACAATTGGATTGAATAGTAACACCCAGTAATTTAAAACTCCCCGCATTCTAAAACTGACGTACCCATAGATATATTCGGCCAAGTAATCTGTCTTTTTAAAAAGGAGATATGAATGACCTTACACTTGTCTGGTTTGGGTTTCGTATGATTTTGCTGGGACCAAGAACAAATGCTGGAAATGTCGTTCAAAACCTGCAGGATCAGAGAATTTTCTTATATCAGCAACAGTAAGATCATCTTCATACTTCCATCTAAGTGGAGTGGTGACAGCAGCATCATTAATCATAGCTAAAAACAGGATCGGTCCCAATATGGTTCCCTGAGGGACACCACAAGTTACTGTTGAAGTGTGCGACACACTGGCACCAATATAGACAAGCTGGGATCTAGTTTCGAAATAATTACAAATAACTGAAATGAGAGCTGGATTTACATCACATCGCACTAAGTTTGTGGGATCTATATTGTCAAAAGCTTTGGTAAAATCTGTTGCACAGATTGAAGCCACATAATTAGGTTTATCGGTTCCACTCAAAATGGTATTTGTAAGACTGATTAAATAGTGAGTTGTTGACGAGCCTTTGATATTCCCAAAGTGTTGTTCGTCAGTTATAGATGATATGTCGTTTATTATCCATTTGGCTAAAAACCTTTCAAACAACTTAGCAAAAATAGGAGTAAGTGATATTGGTCTTAACTGATCTAACTACTGACAAGGTTTCACCGTAGGAACAGGAGTTATTAAGGAATGTTTCCATGGATCAGAAAAATTGCCTGAAAGTAGGCAACAAACAAGATTTGAGACAACGGAGTAGCCATTTCAGCAGCGAATTCATGAATGAGCTTTGTTGGCAGGTCATCCAAGTAAGAGGCTTTTGACAGTTTAAGGCGGCGGAGTTCCCAGTAAACCTCATAGTCCTGGATGACGGGTGGGGGGTGAGGGAAGGAAGGAATGCTGGTAACAAACTATGATGCAGTGGTGGAAGAGACGAACAGATGGGAGTGAAATGATTGTTGATCGTATCAGCTTGGGCGGTTGGTGACATTTCACTACCAAGTAAGGGAATTGACTGTTGAGGCCACTGAGATGCCTCACCTGTTGGTGCCATGGTCCTGTCCGTTGATTCCTCAGGTTAGCAACTTTACGAGAATAGAATGTACTTTGACAGGATTTGATCTCTCTTTGAACTTTGTTTCAAAGACTTCTATACAGAGTGATATCACCAGATTTATTAGCGTTTTGACGTACAGTGAGTGATAATAAACGGTTGGTGATCCAAGGTTTGTCGCTGGATTGCCGTTTGACAGTAATCTGGGGGAAGCATGAAGAAGAAGCGTACTGAAGTGTTGAGCTGAAATCATTCGACATGCCGTTAGCATCATCATAGTTTAAGGTGACTCCAACTTGTAGAAGTGATCCACTGTCCAAAGCTGCAGATATTAGAATCTGAATAAATGGAAGCATTGTAACTCTCTGAGATGGTTATTCAAGCATGCTTTGTTTCGTGTTCGTAACAACAGTCCTGTGATCACTGAATGAAATCGGATCAAAAATTATTTCAACCTTATGTTGGCACTGATTCAGGACTGCTTAAAGTTGTATTGTAACCACAAAATTTCAAGATGATCCGGGGTGTAACATGAATCAACTTGAAGAGGTTTAAAATCCGAATGTATTTATATGGCAACACCTCCTCCTCTTTGATGAGTATGATCCTTCCGAAACTATTCAAATCCAGGAATTGACAAAGCAGAAGAAGGTGTGTCACCTTTCACCCACGTTTCTGTCTAAACAGCAAGCTGGATGTTGTCTGTTTTAATTGTCACAAATAAGTCATCATGCTTGGGTATCAAAGATCCTATATTAGTGAGCAGTAGACAGTGCACTTTAGTGCAAGACTGCTTCTTCAAAACGGGAACAATAATATTGTTTTCTGTATTGACATTCTGACAGAGTTTCACAGGTCTGTTTCCAATGTTAACCCGGATCTGTCGAGCCTTTTTTATTCCAGCTCTGCACCCTCTAGGTCTCCAAATGCCGCACATAGTAGCATTTGTCATCGTCTCTCTACTTGGAAAGTAGAGTTCTGAATGAAGAGTTCTAAATGAGCAACTTTCCATGATCAGTGAAGTTGTGTAGTTGAGCGTGATACAACCGGCAGTGTTTGACACTCTGCCTTTTTCTCCTTCTCTGGGTAGTGACCGACGATCTACGCTACCTCCTAGAGGGCGCCTGCGTGCCCTTCTGCCCTGAGGGTCGTTACGAGGACCGGGACACCCTCACGTGTGGGGAATGCGACGAGACCTGCAAGACCTGCACCGGATCGGAGGTCAACGACTGTCTGTCCTGCTACCAGGGTTTCCAGCTCAACCGAGGTTCCTGCGACGAGCGAGAAGGGTCCCATTGTGAGGCAAAATGTAAAGAGTGCGTGGACGGGTTTGAAGACAGGTGCAGTTCTTGCAATGCAAGCAAATACCTGCAGGACTTTGACTGTGTGGACAGCTGTGGACAGGGCTACTTCACAGATGACAGTATTCGTAAGTGACAGTTTGCTCGGATGTTTATTTTTCCACTTCTGTTCATGAGATATTCTTGACATGATGTTTGTTGGTGTTCGTTCATCTTCAGTGATAAAACTTTGTGTCTTTTTTCGTTGCATAAACCTGTCAAAATATTAAGATTTTGCTGAAAGACACCTGTACTTGTCCTCAGTCTCGGTAATATTTTTGCCCACTTTTACTTCAACTATTTGAAAATTGGAAATCCTTGGAGACAGCAAAACTCATACCGGTATGTGTGCGCTCAACTTGTATGGACTTGACAACAGAAAACATGATTATGGTCACAAAACAGTGACACCAAAGTATTTTGGGTCCTGGACACTGATCCCTGAGCTGGACCAAGAGAGGGCGCAATTTTCCTTGAAACAGGTTCCTCTGGTGGGAAGTGCTTTTCACTAGTTCACTAACAACTATGAAATGCATGTATTAAAGTTGCATCGCTACCAACAAAATGAATGTTCTCCACCAACAGGGCTCTCTTCAACCAATGACGGGGTGCTTCTGCTCGAGGCGGATTGCGTAACCTTCCCATTTTCTCATCTTTGCAGGGAAATGCGTGCGCTGCAACCCATCGTGCAAGACGTGCGATGGGCTATCCAGCCAGGACTGCACCTCGTGCTACGAGAATCGGTTTCTCTACGATGACTCGACCTGCGACAGCCACTGCCCCTATACTACATACACAGACCGAAGTGACTGGCGATGTAAGGACTGCCACTCCAGCTGTCGGTCCTGCAGCGGCCCCGGAGCCCGTGCCTGTGAGACCTGCGACGGGGATCTGTTCTGGTCTGGTAAGACAATGAATACAAGAACAGGCAGATGAGGCAGGCCACATCACGAGAATCCCACTGGAATTAGTTCATGGGTGCGGGAAATAAACTTTTGACTCATGACTGGACGCATATACAGTATATACTAAACTCCAACTCTCGAACTGTCTCGTGTCAGCTGTGGCGCGTTCCAAGACTCTTGGATTTGGGTGGAGAAGCAAATGGGAAGGAAAAGAAAGATCTTTTCTGGGGAGGGACCAAAATATATGATTTCTACAAGCCAAGAAAGAAGCAAACTTGCACTGTCCTCTTTTAATTATTCTGATTTTGAACTGTGAGGGAAATCAGTAGATTTAATCTGCAGGTACATTGTGGAAGGGAAGGTCCCAAAGGGGGGGAGGGGGAAGAGAAACTTGGGGGAGGGGCAATGTCCCCCTCAACCACCACCGCCCCTTGATGTCCAACTAGTCCTGACTTCTGTGTCTTCTGTTCAGATAATCAGTGTTTGAGCGACTGCCCTTCAGGGACGTTTGGAGACGAAGGCGAGCAGCAGTGCTTGAGGTGCTTCCCAACCTGCGGCACGTGCGACGGGCCCTTCTCCGACGACTGCCTGTCGTGCAGCGAAGGCTTGAGGCTCGTCGGCAGCCGCTGCCAGCCCGGCGATTGCCCGGCCCGGACCTACCAGGACGGAGGTAAGTCGGCCAGAAGTGGGAACCCTGTCCGGCATAGTGAAGCAATCAGAAATTGATCCAGAAGTCAAAAAGCATGTGGGGGAAAGGAGTGACAGAAGATGGGACGATTGACTCAGAGAGAACTGTGTCCAGAGTAGAGTACGACAAGATCTACAAAATGAATGTTGAGGCCCAAATTAGTGATTTTTTTCTTTTGTGGTTTGTCTTAGAAAGACCGTGAGTACCTGTTGTAGCTAAAGATGGACGTTTGCATGTTTAAACATTTAAACGAAACGAGTACCAAACCCGTTTACAGATTTTCCCAAATGTTGAAACAGAACCTCCCTTTTTAGAGATCTGACATTTTTATTGACGCAATCTGGTGTTCATTTTTATTTTAAACAATGCCTGTATTAAAAATGTAATATGTATCTCAGAACGCTTTTCATTTTCGGCATCCATGTACTTTTTGAGAAAAAAATGGATCCTAAAACAGTAAACATTGCTCGTTTTAAATGCCGCAACATTAATCTACGTATTTACATTGTGCATTGTTGAACTATACAATTATGCAAAACACCGAGGTATGCGGCGGCAGCTTCTGTAAAGTGTTGGCTAACTGTTTAGACAATGTGGGAAAGTTTTCCAAACGTTTTTCAAATGAAACATGAATCCCTACCTTTAGTTGTAAGGTATCATTCAGTTTGGCATCCTGACAAAAAGGTGGGGGGGTCCTAGAGAATTCAGTGTGCGTGATTCTTTGAAAGGTCTTCAGTTGCCCTGGCAATTTGATGCTCATTCTGGTCAAACAATAACAGCCCAAAAACTGCAAGATAAGCCCAAGGAGAACCATGACATTACCGGATGCACTCCGCAAAAAAACAATGCACTTTTAGCAGTAGAGCCTCCCCGCCAGTTGATTATGGGAGATTTTACCTGAACGTCTCTCTATCGTGCGTGGGAGGGCGACCACCCACCACCGTCGAGAGTCACCGCTCACAGCCCGCATATCACTGGTGCCCTCTTGTCCTCCTTCTCCCTGTGTCAGATGGAGGCTGCAGCAACTGCCATGACACCTGTATCGCGTGCAAGGGGCCAGGGGCCAGCGACTGCCAGCGGTGCGATTACGACCGTTTCCTGAACGAGCACAATGAGTGCGCCGAGGAGTGCATTTCAGGCTACTACCCAGACTACGAGAGCAATATTTGCAGGCCCTGCCACATTAGCTGCAAGACGTGCGTACA